AAATTCAGACACAGAGAGGGACATGTATGGTGGGACAGAGTAAAGACATGTAAGAAAAACATCCTGGGACGACAAAGGACTGGAGTGATACAACTACAAGCTAAGAAATGCCAAAGATTGCCGGCAACTCACCAGAAGCTAGGAAAACAAAAGGAAGGCCCCTTCTCCTACAGGTTTCGGAGGGAGCAGGACCCCGCCGACACCATCAATTAGGTCTTCCAGACGCTAGAGCAGTGCGCCAAAAAAAATTCTGGTTGTTCTAACCCACCCACTTTGTGGTACTTTGTTATAGCAGCTCTAGCAAACTGATACGGGTGACTTTTCACTATAATGACACGATATTCCTCCCCACTCCCTGGAGGATGTTGGGATTATGAAGGGAGATTCCCCTCAGGTCAGCGTCCTGCAATAGGAGGGTGGCATTTGGATGGTGCTGCTCTGAGGCTGAGCAAGAGGACAACCAGATGTCAAGCCTGTGAGTGTCTACAGGAAGAACCCCATCCATTCCCCATCGAAAGCCTTTGAGACCGAGGTAAGACATGCAAGTCCAGGACCTATCTTTCCCAAGTATCAAATCATTACAAGATTCTGACGACCAATATTTTAACCTATTTTCAATCTTTGTACAAATTACAGAGTGTAATTTACTATTTGGCTGTCTTTGTAAACAGTGACTACAGAGCCTATATTTTCATTTTGTCCCAGCATGAAGGCATTTTCTTATATAATTTTTTATTATTTTTCTTTGTAGGACTTTTTGAAAGTCGACCTTATATTTACATAGGAGCACCAAATAGTTTCTTGAAACCCATCGAAATGGAGCTGCATGGCTCTGGGAGACTTTATAGGCTTTATGCTTTTATACCCTCCAAGGACGGACTATCAATCCAATTTCTAAATATCCAATTCAAAGGAAACCTTCGGAAGAAACTGTTTCCTTCTCCATCCTTCATAAGTCCATCTTAGAAATACAAGTTAGATTTAGAAACGTTTGCATTTATTTGGGGGCCAGAAGAAACTAGGCATTCAAATTTGAGAATTCTAGAACTTCAATAGATTTACCTCTGTACACCTTGGTTCCCTTTAATGTTTTTTTCTTGGAAAATATGCAGGTCCAGAAGATGTAATGCTTCAAATAAAAAAGACCACAACCCGGCCGGGCGTGGCTCAGTGGTTGAGCGTCGGCCTAGGATCCAGGTGATCAGGGTTCGATTCCCAGTTAGGGCACATGCCCGGGTTGAGGGCTCAATCCCCAGTCGGGGGCGTGCAGGGGGCAGCTGATCAATGACTCTCTCATCTTTGATGTTTCTATCTCCCTCTCTCCCTCTCCTTTCCTCTCTTTGAAATCAGTAAAGATATTTTTTTTTTTTTTAAAAAAAGATCACAATTCCTACTGACATCCTAGCATGTTCATGGATTCCCTAGGCCCAGCTCTCAATTCACAAGGACTTTCACAAGAGGGGAAAGAACTAATTCTAATAATAAAATTTTTTAAATAACAAGGCAAGTTGAAGATTATATGCACTGCTTTTTATCCACAGAGAATGTAGAAAAATGTACCCATTCAATGGAAAAAATTATATGCACACCATTGCCCTAAGTTTCTATGAGCCAGGCCTTCTCCAGGAGAGGACAAGTCATCGTGTTTATTGGGCGCCCTGTGCTAATTTGCATGAGTAGGACTCCAAGTTCTCCCTTTAGATAAAAAAGAGCCATAGATGTCATGTCATGCTCTATTTGGGGCAGGTGGGGATACCAAGGAAGGAAACAAGTCCCCACTTGTCCATCCAGATACATTTTCTGCTTTTAGAGCAGTCAGGTAACTGGTAATGTTTTCTGAGAATTGCACGGGTATTGCACAGGAATTTTTCCATTTCTAGTGGGAGTGGGGTTCTTGCCATATCTTGAGAAAAAGAATTTTGTAAGACTTGCACAGGAGAATGAGATGTGGTAAGAAGGTTTATTCACATGAAATTATTTCCCTCAGGTTGCAACGTCCCATTTCCCTTAAACCAGTCCTGGAAAATGTGCAGCTGGGGCTTCAGCAGAGCTAGAAGCAAAGCCAGTGTCCAAAGTTTCTGTTCCATGGTGGAGTTGAGTCTGGCATAGCACGGGGCTAGTCACAGTCCATCAGTCCACTGTGTGGGGTCCACAGGGCCGTGAAACATGGGTGAATGCGATGGAGCTCAACCCCTGTAACAGGAGAGCCAGGAACTCAAGGGGGAGAAGTGCTATTGTTGAGAAGCTTATGCATCTCAGATTCACGTCCTTGCAGTGGCCACATCTACCCTGGCCGATGCCCTGCTCCCAGGCGTGACTGCCAGGTGCTACCTTGCCTGTGTCATTCAGGCCTTACCGGGCCTGCGTCTCTTCCCAGCGACTTGTGGGGAACAGACCGGGAGAGTCCTAAACGGCAGCTTCATGGGAAAGCTGTACAAGTGGCATGCCTGTGTTATCTGGCTTTCCCTTTGCTCCTTTCCTGTTACTTAATAACTGGGTTAATTAATTACAACGGTATCAGTAAGACTGATGGAACATTCAAATGGGATAGCTCCAGGGACATTTAATACAGGATGTTCCTCCAAAATGTGAGCAGGGTGTAGAGAAATCCCAATATGGTAACAGGAAATAAAAACTTTACGCTACACCGGCTAATCATGAAACAGAAATAGAAGAAAATGTACTAACGAGCTGGTAAAGGAACTCACATCCTGACAGTTTCCTTGTATGCATGTTGCAGTTGCTGCTAGTTCCTGCCTGACACAAGAATTTGGGCAAGCGACTAACGGGAACGGTTGCTGAATGACAGGAGCAGTAAAGCTGCCGATGGAGCAATGAAGCTGCGTGAGCAAGGGTTCCTGTTTCTCCCCCGGGAGGCTGGGCGGCCCGGCTTGCACGCCGCTGTGCACACTACCCCTGACGCCCAGCTCCTCCTGCGTCCCCTGCCCACCGAGCACAGCCCTGTCTTCTCCAGACACCACTGAATTGGTTGATGCCCGGGGTGGTTACAGTGGTGACTACAGGGAGTAATATAGGTGGGGAAGCTGAGCCCTACACCATTTTACCAAGAAGTACTTTGGATCTTTCAAACCTATAAACCAACAGAAACCAGTGTGCTCGATCTTTCGGGAAAAGNGGGAGGGGAGCTCCAGGCAGCTGCACCCTAAGAGAAGGACTTTGGATCTTTCTAAACATATAAACCAACTGAACCCAGTGTGTTTTTCCTTTGGGTGGAAACAAGTTGCCTCCAACAAGCCCTGGGGAAGAAGAGGCAGAGTCAGCCTGCGGCAGAGCAGAGTGAGTACATTTAATCTGATGGTTTCCGGGGGCACCCCTGGGAGGCCGAGAAGGCTTGTCTGCCACATGAGACTCATGGTAACGCTGGGGGTGGGGGAGAGCCCATGGCGGGGTTTACTGTACTAGCTTTCGGGGGTCTGCTCCAAAAGGAGAGAAAGAAAAAGAATTCAGTCTGGTTAACACTTTGCTTTCGGCCCTGTCGTGCCCTGATCAGGGCCCCGGCCCTGCCATGCCAGGCTTCGGACCTACACAGACATGAGCCAATCAAGGGATTCTGTTTGAAGCTGCTGAATTTATCATTTGCGACACAAAGGGCTGTCCTTTAAGAAAAATCATGACGACTTTGCAGCCAGAGAGATTCTTCATTATCTCTACTTCATAGGACCCTAAATTGGAAATAATGAAACTTCTTTATCTTTAGTTACCTTCTCTATAAAACAAGAACAGTAGTATGTTATCTCCCCCACAGGGTTATTATAAAAATTAGAGACTATGTGTATGCAGATCTGTGAGAGCAGCTTATAAACAAACTAGTTAAAGTGACATGATACCAAGTTACTTACCAGATACTCAGGGGTAGCTCTTATAATTATAACTAATAAATATTGTCCCTGTTGCTTAGGACCTTAGAACCTTACAGAGGAGACAACCATGGGGACAGAGTGTTTCAGTAAATACACGTATGTGGGTTCATGGTGCTCAGGAGAGTGCAAGTGGTGTCTGAAGAACAGGAAAATAGATTATAAATCCCACCTGATGAAACGCCTCGAAGAACGCACTGTCTCGGGTGGAACTCAAGTGTGCGTGGGAAGGCATTTGAGAATGTTCCTCAGCTGAGAGCCCTGCCCACGGGCCCTTTCACCAGAGGGGCCCGCTTCTTGAGTGTTGCTGAGGATGTGCTGTCCCATCCTGTCTTCAAATCTATTTCTGTTGTGCTCCCTATATGGGAATCTGTGAGTCATTGCCTTTACCTAAGGTTTATTTAAAAGTTGCTTCCAGGTCTGTTACTACAATTCAGTTTAACTTTTTCTCTAAATTTCCTGAATGAAATTTAAGAGTTCCGAATCCAAATGAAAATATACAATGGAATAAGCAAAGTAAATTTAACTTACTTTGTGTATCTAAAAAATATATATATAAGTAATTCTAAAACCAGACCAGAATTCACAAGTGACCTAGAAATTGAGCAGCATGAGACCCCTAGTGAATATACTCTGCCCTGATAATGGGCTTCCTTGGAGATAAGGGTCTCCATTTAGCAAATATTTATATGACTGGGATCCAGGGGAATTCATGTCCATGCTCCCAGCCTCTGTTTCCTTTCTTGAAATTGAGAGAATGGACTCGCTGCTCTCCAGGAGATGCTCCATCTCTGCAATGCTGAAGTACCTCTATGTGCAGAGGACCCTGAGAGATGAGATACAAAAATGAAATGACACAGGCCTTGCCCTCCATAGTGCTCATCAGCTTTGAGCCTTAGTTTTCTCACCTGAAAAATTGGACAGGTGTGAGGATTCAAGGCGATGTATTTGTAAAGCAGTGACTGCGTGTGTGCCCTCTAACTGCTACATAATATCTCTAAAACAATAAACTCACAGGGGGTTGAGATGCTGAAATGAGTTAATGAAAGCAAAAGTCCTTTTTCAATGTAAACGTTAGTGCACAGGTGAGGGACAACTCTATTGCATTTGTATTTTAACAGCATGAACTCCATGACTTCAACAAGCCCCGTGGCCAATTCTGTGTTTGTGGCTGTACCCCACGGGGAATATCCTGTGATCCCTGGGAGCATGTCTCAAGTGCCCCCATATCTACTCAACCAGCCCCAAGTCTACCTAATGCCTGGGAATCCACCTGGTTTGAAGTCACCTATTTCTACACAACCTGCCCAGAGATCCTTGAAAGAGGGCAGAGTTTTAGGGGTAAGTGAGATTTCACTGTATGCATGGGGCCACATGGCTGGAATCAGGAAGAAGGTTTGGAAATACAGAAACTCCAAATCTAGCAAGTGGGGCTGGAGCTGACCCAGCCTTGCCAAACTCAGGTCTATTAAGAAGCTCAACTGTGCAGCAGTATCAGGGCCTCCATGTGGGACTTTGTATTTTCTATCTTAGGCATTTTAGGAAAGAGAAAGAAAAGCAACAAAGAAGTAAATTGGAATGTTGGTCCTGTTGCCAGAATCCATGTACCCACCTATACTGCTCAGAGTATTGCCAATTGATATAATCTGTACGGAGGACTATACACATCTGCCAAATTTGAAAACACCCAATAATTCAATTTCTGAGACTTTGTCCTGTAGATATACCTGTGTACATGAGAAATACAACATCTATAAGGTTATTTATTGCAGCATGGTTTGTGATAGTGAAACCAGTCCAAATGACCCTCAGGTTCTTTTGCCTGCCTACACAAAGCCAAACACAGGACACAGTTGCTGATGGAAGGAAAATGATTTATTCAGGTGTTGACTGCCAGACAAGATGGCAGGCACATGCCTTAACAACCATCTTAACACCTCAGGGTAGGCAAAAGCCTTTTATAGGGGATTGTGGAAAGAGGGGACTTAGTAATTCTGGCAATGTGCCAGGTTCACATTCCAGCTATCAAGTGGTTTCAATGCTCTGTTTTGTGTCTGTCAGCGTCTAGCATTGTTTTCTCTTTCTGTGGGTTTTATTTCTGGGGCAAGATGTTGTAGACCTAGCCAGCCATCAGCATCTACTACAGTCCTGTGTTAGAGCCAGTGAAAAGGGAAACTGGAACTGCTGCTGCCTATAACTGAAACTGTAACATGCTTAAATATGAAACTATTAATATTTTAGACTATAAGGTTTATTAGTATATTCTTAATTTTATTCCTAATTAGTTAGTTAATTAGATGTGAAGTTTTTTATACCCTATACCCTTTTCCTACAATAAGAAAAGAATGGAAACAACCAAAACATTCATCAGTACAATACTGGTTAAATCCATGTATTATATATCTAAAGAGTGAAATGTTGTGGAGCTGTAAAAACAAAGCTCCTTGCCCTGGTTGGTGGGGCTCAGTTGTTTAGTGTCCTATGCACTGAGAGGGTGCAGGCTCGATTCCCAGTTAGGGGGCATGAATGAGGCAGCCAATTGATCTTTCTCATTGATATTTCTCTCCTTCTACCTTCCACTCTTTCTAAAGTCAATGAAAGCATATTTTAAAAAAAAATACAAAATAGCCCTGGCTGGTGTGCCTCAGTGGTTAGAGCATTGGGCCATTTACCAAAGTGTCATGAGTACAATTCCTGCTGAAGGGCATGTACCTGGGTTGCGGGTTTGCTCCCCACTCCTGGCTGGGGTGGGAAGGGAAAGCAACCAGTCAATGTCTCTCTCTCATCCATGTTTCTCTCTCCCTCTCTCTGTCTCTCTCACACACTCCCTCCCTCTCACTCTCTCTGAAAAGCATAAAAAAATATCCTCAGGTGAGAATTAACAAAACAAAAATACAAAATGTCTTCTTTAGGAAATAATAATAAAGCTCCTTAACTCCTTGTTAATGATATGGATATATCCCTAGCTATATCATTAATGAGAAAGAATTGGGGCAGACATTTTGTACAATTTGATACCATTTGTGCAAATTTAAGGAAATAATGTATTTGGGGCCATTTTTGTAGTACACACACACACACATATATATATGGATGTATATATACCATTTGGACAAGAATATATATTAGTTTCCTAGAGCTGCCATAACAAAGTACTTCCAATGGAGTGGCTTAGAACAGCAGAAATTTACTGTCTCACAGTTCTGGAGGCCAGAAGTTTGTAACCAAGTTATCCAAGGGACCATGCTCCCTCCAAAGGCTCTAGGGGAGGATCTGTTCCAGGCCAGTCTCCTAGCTTCTGGTAGGTCCTTGGCTTATGGCAGCTTGACTCCCATCTTGTCATTCTCTTGGGTACACATGTGTCTCTTCTCATGGCATTCCTTTAAAATGATAGCTGTCAGATAGGAACCACCCTATTCCAGTATACTTCATATTACCTAATTACATCTGCAGCAAACTTATTTCCAAATGAGATCCCATTCTGAGGCACTGGGGACTTGAACTTCAAAATGTAAATTTGAGCCTTGGCTGGTGTTTCTCAGTGGTTAGAATGTGGGCCCATGCAATGAAGGGTTGTGGGTTTGATTCCTGGTCAAGTCCACATACCTGGGTTGCAGATGTAATATCCAGCTCTGATTGTGGCTCATGTGGGAGGCAGCCAATTGATGGGTCTCTCTCACATCGATGTTTCTCTCTCTCTCTCCCTCTCTCTCTGCCCACAACCCCCCTCCAGTCCATTCCCTCTATAAATCAATGGAAAATATATCCTGGCATGAGGATTAACAAATATATATATAAATTTGATGAGTGAGAGTCAGAAACAATTAAATCCATAACAGTATCCCAAAGAAATAAAAGATGAGCACAAAGACTTATCTAGAAAGATGTTCATTGCAGTGTTGTTTATAATATGGAGACATATTATACCTGCCCAGTATCACTGTTCCAAGTAACCCACAGAACATCACCACAATGGAATCTGGGCAATCCTTAAAAAGCATATGTTTAAAGAATACTTAATACCATGGAGAGTGTTTGTGATGAAATATTAAGTTAAATATGTAGAGCCATTTTGAATTATTAGTATATATATTTGAAAAAATAACAGAAGGTTTTATACACCAAAATTTAAGTGGTTGTTTTCTTTGAGTGGGAGGAAATTATGGAAAGTGTTTCTCATTTTTATATTTTAAATATGACTTTATTGACCAAAAAACCAAAATGTTTAATAAAATAAAAAAGAGACACAAGGGAACAGGGGTCAAGATCTAGCCTCAAAAACAAAGGTCTCAGCCTGTGTCTCCCCTGACAGGCCATCCAGATCCTGATCGGCCTCATACACATCGGCCTCGGCAGTGTCTTGGGGGTCATCGTGTTCTTTCCCTACATAGCTATCTCATTCTATGGAGGCTATCCCTTCTGGGGAGGCATTTTGGTAAGTAATGTGAGTCACCCTGCAACTGAGCTCCAGAAAGTGCCAACACACTCAGGCCCACCTTGTCAAGTTTTGTACTTTATTGCAGAAGCTTTCCAGCCAAAAGAGCACATGGGCTGTGAACCCACCTCAGGCCTTATTCACCAAGAACATTAGTCTGCTTGGGCAGCCAGAACAAAGACCACAGACTGGGTGGCTAAACAACAGACATTTGTAATCTCCTAGTTCTGGATGTCTGAAATCCAAGGTCAAGGTGTCGGCAGGGTTGTTTCTTCTGAGGCCTCTCTCCTTGGCTTGTAGGTGGTCATCTTTCTCCCTGTGTCTTCACATGGTCTTCCCTCTGCGTGTGTTTGTGCCCTAATATCTCCTTTTATAACAACACCAGTCATATTGGATTAGGGCCAACCCATATGACCTCATTTAACCTTAATCACTTCTTTAAAGGCCCGATTTTCAAATAAAGATGGTCTTTAACTTATGGTAGGGTTACAGCTCAATAACCCATCATAAACTGAAAACATCCAAAGTAAAAAATGCAGTAAATGCTACACTGTAGAGAATGGGTTGTTTACCCTCGTGATCACCTGGCTGACGGAGAGCTGAGGCTGGCTGCTGTTGTCCGGTATCACCAGGATATCTTACTGCATATCGCTCACCCAGGAAAAAGTCAAAATTCAAAATCCAAAGAGCAGGTTCTACTGAATGCACATAGCTGTCACACCATTGTAAAGTCAAAGAGTCCTAAGTCCAACCATTGTGAGTCTGGAAACACCTACACAGACACATTCTGAGGTCCTGGGTGTTAGGCCTTCAAAAGATGGATTATGAGGAGTCAAAATTCAGCTCATAATACCAAGTGACAGCCCTGTAAGGCGCAATCACCCCAGAGTGGGCACCTTTACTAATTAGCCCCCTGGGAGTCAGGAAGCCTTTTCCTAGTTCATCAGCCCAGCGCTCAGGTGTTGTTCACCCCAGGCCCACAGCCAGGGCTCCAGCAGAAAACCCTTTCCACCGTGGTTAAGAGTGGCTGCCCAGCCCCAGAACAGTCCTTAAGCAGTGGGGACTCCACCTGGAGTCTGTAGATGGGCTCAGGTCCCCCTTGTGGCAAAATATTTGGTACATTCAAATATGTCATTTTGGTCATTTTGTTTCTTCTGGAAAAGGCCATAGTTTTTATCCCATTCTCAGGGTGATCTGGAACCCCTTACAAGGTTATGAACCACAGTTCCTTTCTCCTCTCCAGTGCATTGCCTTTATGATTCTTCTGCATTCTCCTGAGTGTCTTCCCTTCCCCACATACACACACACGCACACACACACACACGCAATCCCTCCTTCACCTCCCCTCCACCCCTCATATCCGTTTTCTCCCCTCTGTAACACAGTCTGTGTCTCGGCTCACACACCCATCTGCAACTCAAGGCAACTGACCTCACAAATACCAAACTCCAGAGTAACCTGCACATCAGCCAAGTCACATTCTCCCATGAGATTTAAATCAAGTAGCCCAGAGTTAACCCCCACCCTCACACACGGCATCTGCGAAATGCCAGGGCTTGCCGTCTGGGAGCATCTTTGTCTGAGCACCTGCTCTCTCCCATCCCATTTGTCTCGCCCTCTGAGGCTGAGGTCTCCTCTCAGTTCTGCACAGGCCCAGACTTGGGTCTCAGCCAACCACAGACACCTGTGTCTGTGTAACAGCCTTCGGTGGAGTTTGGGGCAAGGGGAAGACTAACACCACAGGCAGAAAAGAGCTGCCATGGTGCGTTAGAGTCTCTTAAGACATCTCAGGTGCCTTGCTGGCCATGTCCATTCACCAGGCTGCTCGGGTCCCATCAGCCCTCAGGACACCACCCTCCTTTTTCCAGTTTTTAGAAGAGGAAATATACACTTAGAGAAATTCATAACCTACCCAAGATCACATGAGTTTCAAGCTCGGCTTTAAAACGAGGTCTGCTGGATCCTAAAATATTAATTATCCCAGTTCACTGCCCTGCCAAGTGGTGCATTCATGAGCTTATTCAATATTCATTCATTCTTTTCCCGGAGGCGAGCAGGAGTTCCAATTAGAGGAACCCAGCTAGTGAGAGAGAATTCAGGTGTGACCAGAATCGCAGAAGCCTGAAAGTGGGGCCCTGACCGCTGACCTCTCTCTAATCCCCCCCTCTCTCTTCTGTGCCAGTTCATCATTTCAGGATCCCTCACAGTGGCATCCGAAAAGCAGCCAAATTCTTCTTGCCTGGTAAGTGGCATCTGAGACAGGCTCTCCCCGCTGCGGGCCTGTGGGAGACACACAAAGGGGGGGAAGCAGCCCGCACGACCCCTCCTCAGCCTTGCACCTGCGTGTAACCAGACGCGGGGCGCTGACACGCGTGCTCGCTCACACTCACTCACACGGCCCACGAGCCTGGCCAGAGTCACGGTGGGAGAGGGTGCGGAAGATTCGGGAAAGCTAGGGCAGTACAGCCGCGTTCAGAGAGGCATCGGGTGTGGAGAGACAGAGGATCACTTTGCCAAGAGGGTCTCACAGGAGGGGGCACAAAGCTGCCAGGGGCACAGGCCTGCCCTCCGCAGAGCAGGCCCTAGGCCGCCTGCAGCACGCAGCGGCGCCAGGCATTCTGCAGGGGGCAGGGGGCTCGGGCAGCGGCTTCCCGGGGAACCCCGCTAACCAAGCTCTGCGAGTCAACATGGGCCCGCGAGGCTTAGTGTCCCTCTACCAGTGGCCCAGAAAGTGCCTGTTTCTTTCACAGCAGGTTATCTGGGGCAGGGAGCCTTAGGATGGCCAAGTCCCGCGCCAGCCGAGATCTATCTGAAAATCTCCAAGGGGAGCTCACTCCTGGGCATGCCTTTCTGCACTCGGCCCCGGAACCATGGAGATCAGACTCTGTCATATGCCGAGACACTTGGGCTGAGTCCCCTGCCCATCTCCTGTAGGATAAATGAGTCAGGTGTTTGCCAAAAATTATTCTTGGGGATACTTGTCCCACGAGATACTTTCTGAAAATGGTTAGGTAAACTTTGGGGGGAAATCTCTATTTAGTAGTCCCCTCTGTGGAAGAGCCATAATCCTTGTTAAAGGCTCTGAGAAGTCCTGTACAAAAGACCTGTTTAACTTTGTGCAACTCAAGTGTTTACAGATTTAACTTACCACCAAACCTGTTTAGCACAGAGCACCTCTTTACTTGCTGCAGAACTAGGGTTCCACCAATTCACATTAAGAAACACTTGTTGACCTTAAATTTTTCTATAAAGGTAGCTGAGGCATTTTTATAAACAACTGGAAAAAATTCTTTAATTGTGTTTTGATATTCAAATATTTCTTTAATTAGCAAGGCTATAACAAAGAATTCCAAGGTTATTTTTCTTATCCTATGGGCTGTCTTCACAAGAAGTATGTAAGGTAAATAAAAGCCCAAAAACTAGAGCTTCCCAATATAAAACAAACCAAAAAAAAAACATTTGTTGAATCTCTACGCACCTCAGCTACAACTGTTTTCGTCTCCCACACTGACCCTCTGTGTCTTCTTCAGCTGAATGGAAGCTTGGGCTTGAATATTTGCAGTGCAATCTGTTCAATGGTTGGAATCATGCTCTTCATCACAGATTTGTGTATCAACCCCTCATATATCTACCACCAATACTATCGTTACTTGGTTGTGGTGAGTATCACACTTGATCGATGATCCTCTGGGTTCCAACTTACCTATGTTTAGGAAAGCATTGGAAAGGGCCTGACCACCAGGCTTCTTCACCAAGCCCCAAAGAAAACAGAGGTGCTGTCACAGTCAGAACAGAGTTTCAAGTCCCTGACCTGTAGCTGTTTTGCTGTGTTACTCTACCCATGTTACTTTTCTTAGTCTTAGTTTCTGTCTTTATAAAACACTGCCTGCCTTTGACATTGTTGGGAGAATTAAATGCAATCGTCCATATGATGCACAGGTACCCACCAACCTGTACTTGTAATGGGCCTTCCTGCCCATGACTGTGGACAAGGGCTCAGCCAAGATGTTCAGAAAGGGTGGGAGAGGGAATCTTTTAGGCTTTGCAGGCCATCTGGTCTCTGCAGCAAGTGCTCAACCCCGTATGAAAGCAGCCATAGAAAAAGCATAAACGAATGAGCCGTCTCCTGCTATGGACCAGGGCCATCCAATAGGAACCTAATGTAAGCCACCTGTGTGAGTTTACATTTTCTAGTCGCCACATTACAAAATGAAAAAAGTGACAGGTGAAATCAATTTTAATAATATATTTATTTAACCCAATAGATGCACTATGTCACTTCAATATGTAGTCCGTGTAAGAAATTGTTAATTCAACATTTTGCATTTTCGGTGCCACATCTTTAAGATCCAGTGAGTATTCTGCATTTACACCACCTCTCAAGTGCTCGGGGACACATGGTACAGATCAGGAAGTGCAGTCATGGACGAGTCCCCTGTAAGCTCAGTGTCGCCCTCCGCACAGCAGCCCTGCCCTCTCTGCCACTCACGGTTGTCACGCCCTGTGCTCCTCCCCACCCCTTGCCCCCACCTCTCTTCCACATCGCTTTCCCCCCTTTGCTAGAGCTTTTCCATCAGCATCTAAACACACTTGTGTTTCTTCCATCTTCAAAAACAAACCTTCTCTCAGTTACTGCAGCCACCACCCCATTTCTCTGGCTCTCTCTGCAGAAAGTCCTTAAAAGAATTGCCTGCTCATTGCCTCCAGTTCTCCCCTCCCATAATCTCTCTTGCCCCACTCGAACCATACTTTCAGCCCCACTTCTCCGAAAGCCTCCCCTGCTCAAGGCCCTCTGTCATTCCTCCTCCTTGGTGGACTTCTGGTGGCTTCCAGGCCCTGCAGCTGGTGTTCCAGCTCCCACGCTGGTGCTCCCTTCTCTGTCCCCTTTGCTGGGACTTATAATTCCCCCAGTTTCTCAGGCTGAGTCCTCCGTCTTCCTCCGTTAAAACCACATTTGACAGGACGAGCATCATTTGTAAAAGCTTCCGTGATTCCTTGACGAAGACACATCCTGCCCGTCCCTTTGCCGGGACCTGTCCCACCCCATGTCACTGAATCTTCTACTGAGAATGAAACTCTCTCCTCAGTGCCCCAAGGCACTATTTTTGGCTCTTTTATAGCTCTTACCACATCCCATTTGAGTTGCAATTATCAACATCTGTATCTGCTGCCCTCACTAGATCGTGCCTGTTGGGATGCTTTCTCAGCCTTTCCTACCAAGCGGATGTTTGATAGACGCTTGCTAAATCGAGGGGGAAGAGAAGGACAGTGGAAAGGAGGGGTCTCTCCATAAGGGAGGCTTCCCTGGGCGCCTAGCTGTCACCAACGCCGTTTTTGAAATCATGATTGACAGACATTTGTTTGGTACCTCCCACGTGCCATGCACTTCCACTTTCTTATTATTCTCTGCTGTAATTGGAATCCGAGTGGTCATCAGGGTCATTGGTCCCTTGTCCCTTTACGATTAAAGTGGATTCTGCCCAAACTCTCTCCCCAGATACAGTGGGAGACCCCATTCTCCTGAGCACCTTGGAGAAGAGCAAAGGAAGGGCTTAGATGCCCCCTGATGCTCCTGTGAAATCTCCTCCTGCTGGATTAGTTCCATTTGGGGATCTTTAACTAACTCTTTTCCCAACCTAAAGACAGCCCCAGTTGTTTCTCTCCACAAAATGCCACTGCCACATGCCAGGAAGGTGGTTTCAGTGGCCAGCTTTCCCTAAAGGCTCAGAGGGACAGTGGAGCTACCTGCTGACGCCCTGGGGTTAGGCGTCCCTGTTTTGCAATGTCTTGATTTCCCACGGGAGCCTTTTTCTGCAGGCGCCACCTTCCTGGCATGTTGCTCAGTCCTCTCTTCTCCGTTTCTTCTCTGTGGCTTTTCAATACTCCCAAATTTTTATTCACTTCTTATACAGAAGAGTTTCACTGTCTGACCCCAGACCCCAGCCTTAGGTCTTGTCCCCGTGCCTGAAACAAGTTATCAAGGTGTTTCCCTATACAGTGACTATTCTTACCCTTTGAGAACACAGGTAGTAAGTGTTAAAATAATATTTTACAAACACACTTGACCCTCACAAAAACCTGGGGAGATATTTTCTCCACTGAGCCAAGATTATGGGACTTCCTCAAAGTCTTAGTCATAGTCCATTGAAGATCCACACTTTGAGCCAGACCTCAGTTTCCCAAAGCCAAACTCATGACCTCCCTGTCCCTTCTGGTTCCAGAATCCTGGAATTCCTACCTTTGCGGTGCTGATGATATTTAGCCTCCTGGAGTTCTGCATTTCGTCCACGGCTGCCCACTTTGGTTGCCTTCTGGTCTGCTATGCACACAACAATGTGAGTCCAGAGGCTCCTCAGTGGGTGGAAAGATGCCCCAAAGAGGGTGGGAACTAGAGGGGTCTTCAGGCTTCCCCTTCCTGCCCAGGAGCAGGGGGAGCTCTGGAATGTCTAAAGGCCTTTGTGCATTCCCGGTTCTCACGAGTGCACCTCCTGGGCCTGTCTTTTCCAGGGGCCCCTGGTCATCCCAAACATCTACGTGACAAACCCAGTGGCCAATCCAGAACCAGTGAACTCATTGCCACATTCCAATGAGATACAGGACTCCCAATAAAGCCAAAGGTTCTAGAAGCATCTTTCACTAGGACCAATAGAAGAACTCACCTTTCTGGGCTTCTGAAACTCGGCTTCTTCCTTCCCTGACAAACTAAGGAAAATGTCTGTCTCCAACTGAAGGGACACTGGACTTCATTCACTTCAGCCTGGTAAATTGTGCTGTTCCTCTAATAAAAAGGAGCCAGGACTTTAAAGTGGATTTGAGCAAAGAGGTCCTCCATCAGGCATCCACCTGTGGGATGTCACATGCACAAATTCATGCGCTTTCCCCTCTGAGCTTTTGAGTTGGAAGAATAAATCTCTAGACAGCCCAAGCTCCATTCTCCCGCTCATTCACTCACTGAATAAATATGCACTGAGCATTTGGCGTGTTCAAGCCTCTATTCATGGCAGGAGGAGGGTGACCATGGGTGAACACACAAAGATCTTGACTTCAAGCAACTTCTGCCTCACAGGGTAGTACAACATGCAGGCAGTTTTCTCTGAGAGAAGGCATAACATGGGGACATGCGGAGAGAGATCAGAGAGGGAAACGATTTATTCTGGCAGTAATGAGGAACGCAGAGAACAAGCCTGGTGGAGAAAGCAGCATTTGTTGGGGCATTAAAGGAGAGAGTGGGGTCTTTGTTATTGTCTTTTAGTGCAAAAAGAAACCACAGTATGGGGAAGACCTATGAAGACAGTCATCCACTAAATTATTAGGTGTTTTTTTAATATGTACTCTTACCACCCATGCAATAGTACTCAACAACAAACATAAACATTGTGTTAAGATATCTTCCAAAGTTATGAGGCTATTATATGTTCATTTACCAAAGGGTGGGGACTCATTCAATGAAAAATGGCTATGTCTATAACTTCTAGATGTGCACACTTTCATTTAAATATTGTTATCCATGATGGCCAATTGGTTCCTGAAAGGTTACCTGCTGACAGATTATAGCAATAATCTCTAAAATCCAGGTGCCATCAAATTTTCCTTTGCTGCACAGCCTGGAAATGATGTTCTTTTTTATTATTATTATTACTAAATAAAGAACATGATTTTACTCTTGTAAATATTTATAGGCTCTGACTTTACCTAAGAAATTTTCTCTCAAGGGCTTGCTGTTCAGAGTTCTGTCTCCTTCTGTACCTGCATCTTCTCTGACCAGAGAGCCTTTGGCTGCCCTTAAGCTAGTCAGGAATGGCTGAGGTTCCAAGGCATCCAGTGCTGCCACACTTATTCAACATGGTACTGGAAGTCCTAGCCACAGCAATAAGACAAGAAGAAGAAATAAAAGGCATTCAAATTGGATAAGAAATAAAACTGCTCTTACTTGCAGATGACATGATACTGTATTTAGAGAGCCCTAAAGAATACACAAAAAACTGCAAGAACTGATTAATGAATTCAGTAAAGTAACAGGATACAAAATAAATATACAGAAATCAGTTGTAATTTTATATACCAACAATGAACTGACAGAAAGGGAAATTAAGAAAACATTTCCATTCATAATTGCTTCAAAAAGAATAAAAACCTTGGAATAAATTTAACCAAGGATGTGAAAGACCTGTACTTAGAAAATTATAAGATACTGAAGAAAGAAATTGAAGAAAATACAAATAAGCAGAAGCATATAGCATGTTCATGGATTGGAAGACTTAACATCATTAAAATGTCCATACTACCCAAAGCAATCTATAGATTCAATGCAATTCCTATAAAGATACCAAGGGCATATTTCACAGAATGAGAACAAGTATTCCAAATATATATAGGGACCACAAAAGACCCCAAATAGCAATGGCAATCTTGAGAAAGAACAAAGTTGGAGGAATCATGCAACCTGATATCAAACTATAGTGCTAGGACATAATAATCAAAACAGCATAGTACTGTTTTAAAAACAGACATATAGATCAATGGAACTGAACAGAAATAAACCCACGTCTTTATAGTCAATTAATATTTAACAAAGGAAGCAAAAACAGACAATGGGGTAAAGATTGTTTATTCAAAAATGATGTTGAATATATTATACAGATACTAGCAAAAAAATGAAACTACACCATACACAAGAATAAACTAAACATAAATTAAAGTCTTAAATGTTAGACTCAAAACTATAAAGATCCTAGAAGAAAACACAGGCTGTAAAATCTCAGCCATTTCTCATAGCAATATTTTTCTGATATATCTTCTCAGGCAAGGAAAACATAAGAAAAAATTAACAAATGGGACTACATGAAACTAAAAAGGTTTTGCACAGCAAAGAAAACTATCAACAAAATGAAAAGACAACCCACTGAATGGGAGAACATATTGGCCAGTACATCTGATAAGGAGTTACTATCCAAAATTTATAAAGAACTTATCAAACTCAACACCAAAAAAACAAATAATCCAATAAAAAAAAAAATGGGCAAAGGACTTGAATAGACACTTCGCCAAAGAGGACATACACGTGGCCAATAGACATAGAAAAAGATGCTCAGTGTCACTCATCATCAGAGAAATGTTAATTAAAACCACAATGAGATATCACCTCAAACCTGTCAGAATGGCTATCATCAATAAATCAATAAACAAGTGTTTGCGGGATGTGGAGAGAAGGGAACCCTCCGGCACTGTTGGTAGGAATGCAGATAAGTGCAGCCACTGTGGAAAACAGAATGGAATCACCTCAAAAAATAAAAAATGGAACTGCCTTGCCTTGATTGGGTGGCTCAGTTGGTTGGAGTATTGTGTCATATACTGAAAGACTGCATGTTCCATTTCTGGTCAGGGCACATTCCTGGGTTGTGGGTTCAGTCCTGGGTCGGGGCACATATGGGAGGCAACCAATCGATGTCCCCCTCCGTCTCTCTTCCTCTTTTTCTCTCTCCCTCCTCACCTCCCTCCCTCTCTCTAAAATTGTAAGTAAAGCCCGGCCGGGCGTGGCTCAGCGGTTGAGCTTCGACCTAGGATCCAGGCGATCGGGGTTTGATTCCCAGTCAGGGCACATGCCCGGGTTGTGGGCTCCATCAATGACTCTCTCATCATTGATGTTTCTATCTCTCTCTCCCTCTCCTTTCCTCTCTCTGAAATCAATAAAGATATATTTAATAAATAAATCTAGTAATTTTAAAATAAAATAAAATCGTAAGTAAAAAATAACAGAATAAAGTTATAAAGGAGTAGACTCGTTAGTCTAATGTAGAAGAAAGAAGAACAAAATATTAATCTGTGTAGACAGGTGGTTGAAGTAGAGAAAGTATGTTCATAATTCAGCAAGGCAAATACATTATCAATCCCCTTTGCTATGATGTAGGATGGGGAAGTGGAAAATATCCCAGAAAATGCATGCACCATGAGAGATCCCACCATAGGTTGAGACACGTGTGTTCACATGATGATCTTAACGTAATCCTGAGTACCATCACCTTCAGAAAGCAATGGCGTATCAGAATGTGCTGGAAGAAGAAATGGTTATAAAAGAGGCTTTGCTGAAGTTGTATGGTGGATCCCTGGAGATACCATCAGAGTGAGACTGAAAAACAACAGGGAAAACCCAACTATATAACTTCAATATGTAATATTCGCCATAGAGATTTTTTTATCATTGTGTTACAAAATATTAAAATGTGTGATAGAGTTCTTCGAAGAAACAAGGTGTTGGCTCACCTGCCTCCTGTGATCCACTCTCTGTGCGCTGGAGACTCACTCAACAGGAGAGCTGCTGGTATAATTTGAACACCTGAGAGCCACAGAATCGGTGGTGTAGATGCCAGTCCCGGTCCGAAGGCTTGAGAGCCAGGAGTGTGGAGGGCAGAGAGCAAATTCAGCCCTCCTCTGCCTTTTTGTTTTACTCAAGTCCTCAGTGGAGTGGAGGAGGTTCGTCCACACTGGGGAGGGCCATCTGCTTTACTCACTTCCCCAGTTCAAATGGTTATCGCTCCTGGAAACATCCTCAGGGAAAGACTCAGCAGCTATGTTTAACCAGCTTCCGGGCACCCTGTGGCCCACTCGAATTGACACATAAGATTAAGCATCACAGATGGCAAAAATATGTATTTTTAAAACAACCTTTGTTATTGTTTTTTAAAGTCAAATAAAATTAAATGAGCTCCCTGTATTTCACATGTTCATTCCAGTTTTGTAATTGATTTGACGTCAAAAGTGTCATAGCTCTCTTCTATTCCCTGTTTCCCTGAAATAGGTAGAAATGGAGACTAACAGGATTGTGCTGTATCGGTGACTTAAACCCAAGGGCCATTGCCTTTTCTCCTGTTGTTTTACATGGTGAATCACTCTTGGGACTTGAAGTCTCCAGTAAAGCCAAGCACATGGCAGCTACATTGCTGGAAACTTTGATATAGGATAAGGCCATGAAATCATTCATTAAGTTCTGGCTCAGATCAGGATAAGTAGGTTTATCTTCTTAGGAGTTTGGAAAGGCTTGACCTTATATTTGCATACAAGGGCTAAATCGTTTCTTGAAACCCATCGAAATGGAGCTGCATGGTTCTGAGAGACTTTACAGGCTTTATGCTTTTATACCCTCCAAGGACGGACTATCAATCCAGTTTCTAAATATCCAATTCAAAGGAAACCTTCGGAAGAAACTGTTTCCTTCTCCATCCTTCATAAGTCCACCTTAGAAATACAAGTTAGATTTAGAAACATTTGCATTTATTTGGAGGCCAGAAGAAAGTAGGCATTCAAATTTGAGAATTCTAGAACTTCAACAGATTTCCCTCTGTACACCTTGGTTCCCTTTAATGCTCTTTTCTTGGAAAATGCGCAGGTCCGGCAGATGTAATGCTTTAAATCAAAAAGACTGCAGTCCCTACTGACATCCTCGCACCCTCGTGGATTCCCCAGGCCCAGCTCTCAATTCACAAGGACTTTCATAGGAGAGAAAAGGGCTTGCTCTGACAATGAGGAAAAAAATTAAGTATAAGGTGAGTTGGAGATTACATGCACTCTTTTTTGTCCACAGAGAAAGTAGAAAAATGTATGTAACAGGAAAAAAAAAATTCATATGCACACCATTACCCTGAGCTTTCTCTGAGCCAGCTCTTCTCCAAGGGAGGAGAAGCCGATAGGTAT